CTTTAGTTCAGCAAGGTGCCATTTGCTCCGATCGGCCAATTGCTTCAACAACCAGTAAAATTTTCAACTCTAACCAGCGGACAATAGCATCCAGCTCTTATGGTCCCACGTGGCGGCTCCTTCGTCGAAACCTCATCTCAGAAATGCTCCATCCCTCTCGCATCATCAAGTCCCACTCCAAGAACCGAGCTTGGGTACTAGGCATACTCATTCAAAAGCTCCTTCTTGCTCATGAATCAGCCGCAGCTGATTCTGCCACGGAAGCGATCATGTTACTTGATCATTTTAAGTATGCCATCTTCTGTCTCCTTGTCCTCATTTGCTTCGGGAATAAGCTCGATGAGTTTCAAATAGAGCAAATTAAAGACGCACAACATCGAGCACTTAAAAATTTTCACCGTTTCAGAATACTAGATTACTTTCCTGAATTTTTAGGAAAAACAATATTTAGAAAACGCTGGAAAGAGCTCATTGAACTACGAAAAGAGTTGGACGGGGTCTTCATCCCTCTGATCCAAGATCGGGTGAAATACAAATTAGAAGCAGTGGGAGCGCCTAAACCTGGAGTTGATCATCATCACAAAGAAGAGGAGGAGCTGGAAGCCGATATTGCTTATGTTGATACGCTGGTGAATTTGGAATTGCCAGAAGAAAAGAGGAAGCTCAATTACCAAGAGATGGCCAGCCTCTGCGGCGAGTTCCTTGCTGCCGCCAGCGATACGACATACACCGCCTTGCAGTGGATTATGGCATGCTTGGTAAAGTACCCTTCCATTCAGGAAAAATTGTATAAAGAAATATGCCAAGTTGTGGAATCAACACCATTGTTACAATCAATTAAGAACAATAAGGTGATAGAGGAGGCAGTGAAGGAGGAGGATTTACAGAAAATGCCATACTTGAAAGCAGTGATTTTGGAAGGTCTTAGGCGACATCCACCAACTCACTTTGTTCTGCCACATAGGGTAACAGAGGATATGGAGTTGAACGGCTATGTTATACCCAAGAACGCTACCATCAATTTTATGGTGGGGGAAATGGGCTTGGACCCAAATGTGTGGGATGATCCAATGGAATTCAAGCCAGAGAGATTCTTGGTGGATGGAGATGGAACTCTTCAAGAGTTTGATATAACAGGAAGTCGAGAGATCAAGATGATGCCATTTGGTGCAGGGAGGAGAATATGCCCAGGCTATGGCTCTGCTATGCTCCATTTACAGTACTTTGTGGCTAATTTGATTTGGCAATTTGAATGGAAGCCTGTGGAGGGAGATGAAGTTGATCTAACAGAAGGGTCAGATTTCACCGTTACAATGAAGAATCCATTGCGAGCTCGCATCAGTCCCAGGTGTTGTACGGGGAGCTTATAGAAACCACAAGTACCATTCAGTTTAATTTCATAATTCGGTAACCAAATGAAAGGGTGTTTTGGCTAATGATGTTTCTATACAGCACCATTTTGTTTCATACTATTATGAAGATGTCTTTTTGGTGTTTCAACATCTGTATGTCTTTGGATTGAACGACGAATTAAATAACTGCCTGTAACTTATAGTTATAATAACCAAATGCTAGTATTAGCTATGTACAAAATAACTAGAGATGTATGTACAATTTCAAAGTATGGGGAGTGTAAAAAAAGAATTAAAACAAGGGATGTGGTTTTATGTAAATATACTTCAA